GGGGACCGCGGTCGTCTGCACTCTGCTCCCCAAGAGCCAGAGAGAGACTGGGGTCTGGAGCCTGTTCCCAGACCCGGGGGACTCGCTCCCGTGGTGACCCTGTTACTCCCAGGGCCCAGGCCACCTCCCCATGCCCAGAGGTGTCCGTTCCCGTCCCCGGGGTGGGCCCCCCTCTGCAGTGCGGTCCATGCGTTCTGGCCGCCTGGGCGGGGACGGGGGCTGCCCCTCCAAGGCCACAAGGCCATCCGGGCCAGTCTCCCTGTCGGACCCCCGTACCCCTCTGTGCCCCTTCTCTTGCCCCAGAGGGCTGTGCAGACGTCCTAGGCTGGGGGTCTCTGCTGTGACCTGGTGGGGGTGTCCCCTGCTCTGTAGGGGGAGCTGAGTCCTGCCCTTAGTGCCCCCCCCAGGTGAGAGGAGGGCAGGTAAGGAGGGGTTGCGGGGCTCTGCCCACCGTGGTGGTGGCGGGCCATGCCCTCCTCAGCTCTGAGGCCTGAGCGCTGGTGACTCTGGCTCCCTAGGGCCTTCGTCCTGCTGGCCGCGGAGGTCGGGCTGTGGGTGATCCTGCGTCCGGGCCCCTACGTCTGCAGTGAGCTGGACCTCGGGGGCTTGCCCAGGTGAGCGGGGCTGGGGGTGGGGGCGGCGGGGCCTCTGGCAGTGGCTTGACTTGAATTCTGTGCTTGTGCAAAATGCTAATCAGAAATGTAGGTTTAATTTCATTGTCAAAGTTTATTTTTCATTCTGTCCTGAAGTTCTTTTTCAGAATAAGTGGCCCACTTAAGTGATGCCCCAGTTGTGGCCCTGGTCAGATTCCACGTGGTCCCTGTGTGGCGAGCAGCAGGGCCGCCATTCTCCCAGCCCTGGGCCTCCGTGTGGAGCTGAAACTCCGTGGGTTATTTGTCTGCCCCTGACCGACCTCGCTTTCTGATAAGCAGGTTTTTAAAGCCCCAGTGTTGTGAGGAAGTGTAGGGGAAGCAGCTGCTTTGCTTCATCCTTCGTCTTCAGATCTCAGACCTTAGTGCGCCGTCGTGGTGTGTCGTCTCCGCGGGGGTCAGCAGTGTGTCTGGTCAGATGCGGACTTGGGCCAGAGTCCCCAGGCAGCATGTCCAGTCCTCGTCCTCATCCTCAGGGCCACTGATTTCCAGCAAAAAGGTCTTCCTGTGAGCAGGAAGCCACCCTCAGTGCTCTAGCCAGTTAGCCTCCCCTCCCTGCCCCTCGCTGGCCGGGGAGGGGAGGAGGCTGGTCCCGTCTGCTCTGTCTGCTGGGCCTTCTCCTGGGGGGCCCTCACGCTCTCATCTCTAAAGTGACCCCGCCCCACTCTGGGGCCCAGGCAAGCTGTTTCCTCTGTCCCTGGGCCATTCAGCTTGGCCAGGGCACCCCCAGCAAGGCTCACACAGCCAGAGTGGCCTCCCCACACCTGGGGATTAGAAACCTGTGTGTCAGCGATGTCTCCGGCTCAGACCCCAGCCGGGAGATGGGGGGAGGACAGGATTAAGTCTTAGCTGAGTAGCAGCAGGGGCTCCAGCGCTCAGACCTCCCTGCACTCACCTGTCCATGCAGGTCCGGGTCACGGGAAGGACAGGCTCGTGGTGGTGGGGCAGCCCCGGGGAGGGGGCGAGCTGGGAGCACTGGGAATCCCACAGGATCCCGGTGAGGAGGAGAGACAGAGGTTTCTAGATAAGACGGGGTCAGACCCGAGGGAGCTGCCGTCTCCTTGTCCAGGGTTACCTGACTCAGATTGATGGTTTTCTGACCCCGTTCCAGACTTCAAATCAGGACGAAAGATGCATCAGAGCCTTTTGTAAAAATATCAGTGTTGCTCAGAATTTCAGGTGAGAGGGGAAACACCCTGGCTCCAGCTCTGGGAGTGACGCTCCGCTCACCTGGGGAGCAAGGTCACACAGGCAGGTTGCAGGAGGGACTAATCTTGGTCTCCAGCTCCTCCCATGAGTGGGCTCTGAATACTGATGAGGGGAAGGTGGGCGTGGAGGCGGCTGGACCAGAGTTGGCCTCTCAGCCGCATCTCATGCTTCTTCTGGGTGACCTGGAAGGCGACACCTGTGTCCTCTGACCCTGTGATTCCTCATTCCATTCTCCTCACCCCTTTGTATTGAGACTGGAGTAAATGCTTGAAAACTGGGCCTTGAGTTCAAAGAGAAGCCTTTCTCACGCTGACTGGCAGCCAGCCCTAAAGCTGGAAATAGAGTGGCCTCGGGGCTGTGACTTCTGGGGACACGGGGCCGTGACCTCAGGGGATGCAGGGCTGTGCCCTTTGCAGGAGGCAAGCATGTGACCTCAGGGGGCGCAGGACTGTGACCTCAGGGGGCACGGGGCTGTGCCAGGCCTGATCCAAGCGGTGTCTGCCCCAGTCTGTGGTGTAGCATCCTGCCTGCCACCCCCACCCAGTGGAGGTGGGTCAGAGGTCCTCCCTCATTCCCAAGCTCTCTGACCATGCCTCTTTCTCATGCATCACCCTGCCCAGGGCGAACCCACAGACAGCAAAACTAATCACCCTCCTCTTTGTTCAAGCTGGCTACTCCAGGACTCCGGCATGAGGCTGAGGACAACCTACAAGGGCTTCGCTGACGCAGTGGACCTTTATTTTGACCACCTGATGTCCAGGGTGGTGCCCCTCCAGGTAAGGGTGGGCACGCTCTCCCTCCCCCTCCCCGTCCCCCAGTGGTGGCCGCAGCCTGGGTGGAGCCCTCAGGCCAGGGGCTCGCAGCACCTTCGACACAGGGCCCAGCCCTCCCCACGGCGGGGTCTCTTTGGAGGTCTATCTATTTCAGTGTTGCCTCCAGGGGCCCTTGACGCCCGGATAACTGGAAACCCCCGTCTGTGTCCCCACAGCCCAGTGGCTCTGCTCTGCTGGGGGGAGCATATGTGGGGAGGCCCCTGCCTGGGGGACGGCAGGACTTCTTGTAGTTGTAAAGTTACCACTGAGGACATTGCACGGTACATCCTTCTGCTACCAAAAAGGTGCTGCATGGCACACCCAACATTCAAAGCATAGGCGTCAAAGCGAATTTTGGGGAGTATCTTAACACTGCATGTAATAATCGGAAACAGTGAAAAAGCAGGAATGAAAATAATTAACCCAGTTGCTTCTGTGAAAATAAGAAGTGTGACACCAAGAAATTAGAACATCAGTAAAAACTGCTTTGAGTCAATGGTTTGGGATACTCACAGCACACTCAGATCAAAGGAACTGCTGGTCATCTGCATGGTAGGCAAATAAAACAGAGGATACCCGGTTAAATGTGATTTTCAGATAAGCAAGGAGTAAATTTTTTTTAGTATAAATGTGTCTCCATCTGTTTTGTTTCTGATTTTTAGTTACTTGAGTTTTTTCTCTCCTATTAATCTGACTAAAGTTTTGCCAACTTTGTTGATCTTTCCAAAGAACCAGCTCTTGGTTTTGTAGCTTTTTCTCCACTGTTTTTCTAGTCTGTATATTTTCTCTGCTCTAAAATTTATTATTTCCTTCCTCTGCTGCCTTTGAGTTTAATTTGTTTCTCCTTTTCTAGTTCCTTAAGGTGAAAAGTTAGGTTGTTGACTTGAGAGCTCTCATCTCTTCTAATGTGTTTACAGTTGTGAATGTCCTTCTGAGCACTGCTTTCACTGCATCTCATACGTTTGTTCTGTTGTTTTCATTTTAATTTGTATCAAGATATCTTCCAACTTCCCTGTAATTTCTCCTTTGAGCTACTGGTTGTTTATTCACATACTTGTGAATTTTCCAGTTTCCTTTCTGTTGTTGGCTTCTGGTTTCATCTTATTCTGACTGGAAAAGATACTCCATATGATTTCAGTCTTTTAAAACTCATTAAAACTTGTTTTGTGGCCTAACACACGGTTTATTCTAGAGAGTGTTCCGTGTACATCTGAGAAGAACGTGTTCTGTGCTGTTGGGCGCTGTGTCCTCCGTGCGTGTGTGGGGTCCAGCTGGTCTGTGGTCCAGCTCAAGCCTCTGTGTCCTGGCCTTGCTGGTCTTCCACCTGGTTGCTCTGTTGCTGAAGATGGGGCATTGAAGTCTCCTGTTTTTATAGAGCCACTTTCTCCCCTTTAATTCTGTCCATATTTGCTTCAAATACTTTGGAGGTCTGATGTTCAGTGCATGTATGTTTATAATTATTGTATCTTCTAAATTGACCCTTGTATCATTGTGTGAATATATATATGTATGTATATATATGTGTATGTGTGTATACACACATACACACACACACCCATGTATATTATACAATGTCCTTCTTTGTGTCTTCTAACAGCTTTTGACTTAAAGTCTATTTTGGTTGGTATTAGTCATCCCTGCTCTCTGTTGGTTACTATTTGCATAGAATATTTTTTTCCATCCTTTCATTTTCAACCTGTGATTGTCTGTAGATCTAACATGAGTGTCTTGTAGACAACACATAGTTGGATACTGTTTTTTTATCCACTCTGCGAATCTGTGTCTTTTGGTTGGGGAGTTTAATCCATTTACACTTCAAGTAATTACTGATAGGGAAGCACTTACTTTTGTTATTTGTTTTCTGTATGTCTTATAGTTCTTTTTTTATCCCTCATCACCTTCATTACTACCTTCTTTGCATTTAGTTGATTTTTTTAGTGATAAGTTTTGATTCCCTTTTCATCTCCTTCTGTATATTCTGTCGATATTTTGATTGTGGTTACCATTGGGATTACATATACTGTCCTAAAGTTATGGCACTCTGTTTTATGTAGACACCAGCTTAACTTCAGTCACAAACAAAGGCTCTACTCCTTTACAGCTCTGCCCCCTTTTTATTACTGTTGTCACAAATTATACCTCTATATATTGTGTGCCAGTTAATACAGATTCATAATTATTTTATGCATTTGTCTTTTTAAATCCTGTAAAAATAAAAAGTGGAAATATAAACTAAAATTCTAATAGTGCTGGTTTGTACATTTTTTTCCACATATTTACCTTTACCGGAGAACTTTATATCTTCATTTGGCTTTGAGTTCTCGTCTAGCATCTTTTTATTTCACCTTGAGGGACTCCATGTAGCATTTCTTGTTAGGCAAGTCTAGTGGTAATGAGTTCCCTCAGATTTTGTTTGTTTGAGAATATCTTAAGTTTTCTCTTATTTTTGAAGGATAGTTTTGTGGATATAGAATTCTCAGCTGGTAGTTTTTTGTCATTCCTTCAGCACTTTAATGTATTATCCCACTGCCTCTGTCCTGCAAGATTTCTGATGAGCTATCCACTGATAGTCTTATTGGGGACGGTTAGCAGACATTTGGTCCTGTCCAAAATGTGCATAAGACATTTGGTCCACGCTAAAAAGTCTTTGATGTTTGGTCCTGTCCAAGAATGCACATCGACATTTTGGACAGGACCAAATTTCAAGGACCTTTTGGCATGAACTAAATGTCTTATGGAGAGAATGTCTTATGGATGTTTTGGATAGGACCAAGTGTCATGCAAGGTTGCGGACCCTTTGTCCATGTCAAGTTACTTTTCTCTTGCTCCTTTTAAGAATCTCTGTCTTTGGCTTCTGAACATTTGATAATGTGTACTGGTATGGGTCTTTGATTTAATGCTCCCTGGAGTTCACGGAAGCTTCTTGGATTTGTATATCTATGTCTCCTCAAATTTGAGAGGTTTTTAGCTATTATTTTTTCAAATAATCTCTCTCCCCCTTTCTTTATTATCCTTTTAGGGTGTCTTACTGAATATATTAGTCTGTTTACTGATGTTGCTTAAGTCCCTCAGGCTCTGTTCACTTTTCGTCTTTCTTTTTCCTTTTTGCTCCTCAGACGCAATACTTCAAAATGACCTGTCGTCAAGTTTGCCCGATCTTTCTTCTGCCTGTTTGAATCTGCTGTTGAACTCCTATGGTGAATTTTTCTATTTAGATAATGTACTTTTCAGCTCCAGAATTTTTGTTTAGTTTTTGTAATAGTCTCTGTCTCTTTATTGATACTCTCACTTTGTCTGTATGTCCTTTTCCGGATTTCTCTGTCCATGTTTTTCTTTAGCTCTTTGAGCATATTTATGACAGTTATTTTAAAATCTTTGTCTAGTAAGTTCAGTGGTGTGTTTCTTTAGAGACTGTTTCTGGATATTTATTTTGTCCCTTTGAATGAGGTATGTTTTCCTGTTTCTTTGTATGCCATGTTTTTTGGTTGAAAACTGGGCATTTGAGGAAACAGCCCCTCTCCCAGTTCTTGCAGTCAGCAGGGACACCTTTACTATTCAGAGGGCTCTTGGAGATCAGCCTAGGATGAAGGCTTGAGATCATTTCACATGTTTTCTTGGCATGTATCCTATCCGGCTAGTGTGTATGTTTTTATTTATTTTATTTTTAATTTCCCCCAGCTGCTTTTATGCCTTGATTCCCTGAGTCTCACCCTGGCTTCTTCCTGTGGCCTGAGGTGTTCTCTGTGTTCCTCTGCCTGTGACACTTTGCTGCCAGGCATCCTTGGGTCTGTAGTCCCCAGAGTGCTGACATGCTGTGGGCCATCCCTGTCTTCTGCAGCTCTCAGCCAGAGGTCCAAACTGTACCAATATGTTCCGTCTGATCTCCAAGTCAGATAGCAGAGGCTAGTCCACCAGGCAGCGGGCAGCCTACAGACAGCTCTGAATGTTGCAAACAAGCTCTGTCCCTTCTATCCTGGGGAAGGGGACTGTAATCGGGGTGGGTCCTTCTGACTGTACCATGAGATACCAGGGAGGGGGCGGGACAACATGGAATTTCCTGCCATTCAAAAAATGTCTTCTTTTTGATTGGGCATTCAGTTGTTTGCTTAAACACTTGGCTTCTTTCCAAAGCCCCTACGAAGTTATTTTAGTCAGTGTGTAGTTGTTTATTTGATGTTTCCACAGGGGAACGGGGGCCTGGAGCCTCCTGCTCCATGTCCTCTGACGTCACTCAATTATACACCAAGCTTTCTGAGACCTGCACTTTGAAGTGGGATGTATTTCTGGTATTCGGCGACGAGCTTCTGTGGCTCCCACGACACCCATGCCCTGACCGTTTCTGTCTTCCCCAGTACAGGTACGGAGGACCTGTCATCGCTGTGCAGGTGGAGAATGAGTATGGCTCCTATAACAGAGACCCTGCCTACATGCCCTATGTCAAGAGAGTAAGCGTCAGCTTGGGCCCTGTCTCCACGCTCTTTCTGTGGGGTGTGTTATGGGCTCTGGTGTGGTGTGCGGGTCTGGTGCTCCTCTCTGGTCAAGACCACATCTCCCAGCACCATTTACTAATTAGTGAATCCATTCTCCCTCCCTTTAGTTCCACAGAGTCGTCACCTGTTTACTCTTTGTTGGTTGAGGTTAGTGGAAGCACAGTTCACACGTGGTGTTGCCGGGGCCAGGAGTAAAGGATCCTTAACTGGGTGGCAGTGGTAGGGGGTCTTCCTGGGGGGCTGCTCTCACTCCGGCACCTGAGGCCATGGCCCCACCCTCCACTGCACGTTGGCTCCATCTGGGGAGTTGTTTCAACTCGCTGCGCTCGGGCTACATGCTCTGCCGGTTAAATAAGGGTCCCTGGGGTGGAGTCAGATATTTGCGTCCAGTGTATGGTACAGTCGGGAGTGCCACGGTGGGAGCTCAAGCTGACTGGAGCTTTGTTGAAATGCAGGCGGCTTTCTGCACAGAACAGTCATTTGTGGAGACTCTCCCCCTTTCTCTCCTTTGAGGAACGGCAGGCTGACTAGTCTGATCCCTCACAGGCCTTGGAGGACCGGGGTATCGTGGAGCTGCTCTTGACCTCAGACAACAAGGACGGCCTGAGCAAGGGGGTCGTGGATGGAGGTACTTGCCTGTTGGGCATGTAGGGGACGGGGGACGGGGGCGGCACCCCGGCCTGGCTGTGCTCCCCCAGACGGCCTGAGCCACAGCGGAGTTCTCTGATGCCTGTTCTCCTGTGTGCGTGGGTCTGGGCCTCAGCGGGTAGGGGAGGCTGGGACAGGTGGACTTGGGTAGACCCTGTGGCTGGCCTCTCAGTCCCTACACCGGGCCGTCGCCCTGCGTCTCCCTGTCCTGTGGACGCGCTGCTCCCACACGAGCAAGCCCTTTCTCCCCGGCCCCGTCCTGTCCCACATAACCAGGTTTTATCCCTCCTGGTCCGTAACACCCGCACATAAATGTGCTGCTCTTTCTCCCTCCAGTAGGGCTCTGCTGGCCCACGTCCCTGCAGGGTGTTCTGTTTCTCCGCTGTCCCCTTGACCGTCCCCTCCTCCATGCTCCCTGGCCCCTGGCCCCATGCCTCCCCGTCTTGGCCCCTGGCGAGCCCAGTACCACCCTCCTCTCTACACCGGCCCTGCCCCTTTCTGGGTCGCGGTGGCCTCCCCATGCATGACACTGTCCGCGACCTCCGGTGGTACCTTCAGTGTCTTT